GGCTGCTTGTTTGGATTTGTTTCTATGTATTAGGTAGATCTGCTAGGACTCCCAGTCTTTTGGATGGTCTCTGGTGTAGGCCAATGTCAGACGCTGCTTGCGACTGGCCTTGAGTACCCTGTTTGAAGTTTTCCACACTCCACAGCTTGTGGTTGACTCTGCTGGGACTGGATGTGTTTGGGCGGGACCAAGATGTGCACCAAGGTCGGTTTTTCCAAGCCCTGGGTCCAGAAGCAAATCAGGCAAAGACTCAAAGCACCCAGAGGCTATTATTCAGTCTCTTAATGAGCCTCAGGCTGTAGACACTCCATAGGTCCGGGCTGCTGATTGTTATCAGTCTCTTTAGGAGCCTCTCAGGCTATAGAAACTCCTCGAGATGAGTCCAGTGGTTTTCCAGCAGGGTGAGGCAATTGCTTACCCCCAGGGCAAAAGCTGGTTGGAAGGTAAATGTCTGCCTAAGAAAGATGTCCTCTACTATATGGGGGAAATGGCTCAGCACCAGGGTCCAGATGGTTCCCCTCTGAGATCTATTCCACCAGCCAGCCCCCTCTCTTCTCCTCACATAGCTCCAGTCCACTCTGCCCTCCCTTCTCCTGAGCCCAAGGTGTGTGGCTGCACATGAAACTTTGTGTGTTGGCTCTTTAAGAGGGTGCCTGCATTTCCAGTTGTCTCTCCCTGGCAGACAGAAACCCTGCTGCTTTTCACAGCCAGATGTTATGTGAACACCTTCCTCAGTTCTGGTGCTCTTGGCTGGGAAGCCTGGCCTGGGGTTTAGGCCCCAGAGTTCTCAGTGGGAACCCCCACAGCTGAGATCTCCCTCTGGACCTTCAGCTGCTGCCTGTGGGAGCCCAGCCAGCCCTCTCGCCTCCGCACTTCCTACCAGTCTCTATGTGGTCCCCACTTTTCCTCCTTGGTTATGAGGGTGCTCTCCAGCTCGCCTTCAGTTGCAGTTGATTATTCAGGATGGTTTTTCTGTATTTCAGTTGTAATTCCAGTTTGGTCCTGGGAGAGTGTCAGTGTAGCTTCCACTCAATCCACTGTCATCTTGGATCCCCTTTCCTACTTTCTTTTAGTTTATTTGAATTTTTTACTAGATGTATAAATTTAAAAATATACTTTTTAAGTTTATAAATATATAAAATTTCTATTTATATATTTAAAATATAAATAATATATACTTTATGTAGATTTATAATTATATACAGTTATATATATACACTATATAAATATACTTTTTATAATTATACATAAAATATATTTTTAAATGTATACACCTAGTTGTTGTTTTTTACTCTATCTTTAGTGATTGCTCTGGAGATTTAAATAGCATACAAGTTCCATGGCCTACTTGGAGTTACTATTTTACCACTTCGAAAGCAATGTGAAAGCCTTACAGGTCTCACTATTTTCCCCCATCATGTTGTAGTTGTCATGTCCCATTTACATGCATTGAAAACCCCATTAAGCAGTATTATAATTTTTGCTTTCAACTATCACAAATATTTTAAAGATCTTAAGAGGAGAAAATAGTAAATTATATTCACAGGAATTTACCATTTCCATTGCTCTTCCTTTAGCCCAGGGCAGTTTCTCTCTAGTGTGGTCCCTGTCATCTGAGGAACTTCCTGCAGCATTTCTTTTATAGCAGCTCAGCTAGTAGCAAACCTTTCACTTTTCATTAACCTGCAAATGTCTTTATTTTGCTANGTGGTCCCTGTCATCTGAGGAACTTCCTGCAGCATTTCTTTTACAGCAGCTCAGCTAGTGGCAAACCTTTCACTTTTCATTAACGTGCGAATGTCTTTATTTTGCTGGCATTCATAAAGGACAACTTTATTCACTGTTTTGTTGACAGTTTTGATTCTCAGCAATTTAAAAGCTACTTTTCTAGTACTTCTGGCTTCTATGGTTTCCACTGACTATAGGCCCTTCCTTTCTGCTGCTCCCTGAAGGAAATGAGCCCTTTTCTCTGGCAGTTTTCACATTTTATTTAATTTTGAGCAGTTTAATTATGTTTCTGAGTGTGGATTTCTTTGAACTTATTTATCCTGTTTGGGGTTCCCTGGGCTTCTTGCATCTGTAATTTTATGTAATTTTAACTTTCACCAAATTTTGCAAGTTTTTATCCATTTTTCCTTCAAATATCTTTCTGCACCACAACTTTTCCCTCTTCTTCTAGGGATATATCTGTCATCAACATCGATCTCAAGATACATACTTCTATCAGGCTCACAGACAACGAGTCCTGGCGCACTTTCCGTCGAGTCTATGGATCACGGTTAGAATGTCCTCTGGTTTCAGAGACTTCATGGTGCTGTTGGAACCAGGCCCTCCTGTGGCCACCCAGGCACTAGCCTGGAACTTGCACAGCGGTCTCTTAGCTCAGTTCTCAAAGCTTTGGGGTTCGGCATTAGGCACTGAAGACCCTGTTCAGGGTTTTATTCATGCACAGGGCACTCAGGGTTGTCCAGTTCACACACCACCTTATTAAACTCCCTCCTCCATGCAATCTCTCCATCACTGTGTGGCTCCCAGGCACACCTGCCCCACCCCTGGTCTTCTGGCTAGAAATCAGGTACTTTGTTTTCTAAATCTGCTGTTCACTTCCCTCCACGGTTTCTGCCTTCTCGGCCAAGTGACAGTAGGATAGAGAAAAAAGCAACCTCCTCCTGTGTGGGCCACAGTGTGTGCAGAGAACGGCTCTCCTCCCACGAGTTTTCAGTGNCAAGTGACAGTAGGATAGAGAAAAAAGCAACCTCCTCCTGTGTGGGCCACAGTGTGTGCAGAGAACGGCTTTCCTCCCACGAGTTTTCAGTGGCTGCCTGGCTGACTGACTTCGGTGACCCAGGACTACCTGGGGCCGAGGCGAGGCTTTAGGGAATGGAAGAAACTAGCAGGGCAAAAACCAGATCTCCTTTACCCTCTGATCCTGTCACACCCCCTGTCCTATTCTGGGCCAGAGAGAGAGGCTTTTCTTGGAAATCTTTCTGTCATCCCCAGTGCAAGGTTGATCTTACTTTTGAGGTACTTCTACAGCCATCTGACAGCATTTACCTTCAGCGTCCTGGGAGAGCTGCTCTGCACTGTCTGGGGCCTTGAGTTGCACTCAGTGGGTGACATAGACAGAGCCTCCTTACTCCATCCTAACTGTGCGACTGGACCCCGGCTTCCCTTCATGCTGCTTTATTTCATCTGGTTCCTCAGCACTACATGATGCAGAAACTCCAATACTGCTGTACCCAGTACTGTCTCTGGTAACCAGCCAATCATGCCTGAATGAGGTTGGTCCCTTGTTTCTAAAGAAGAGATTCAGCTCCCAGGCTGCTCAGGAGAACATCCATGCTGCTCAGAGCTGAGCGATGGCTTGCTCTGGAGCCCTCCATCCATCCCAGGAGCTATGGTCCAGTAGGGCCGGCACAGGGTGGGAGCCTCTGCTAGGAGTGGCTGCAGTGGGGTTCATACTGAACTCATGGAAGGTGGTTTTCACCCACTGTCCTTGGACACTGAGGATCACTGTCTGAGGGAAAGGTGGTGATAGGTGCACAGCCTGGTTTGCTGGCACTTCATGTGCTGTGTGAATGCGGCTCCTGATAATGGGCCCGAATGGTGAAGGAGAGAAACTGCAGGCACCTTTGCCGCCCGCCCACCATAAGCATTTCCTCTTGACACATGCTTGTGCCTGGTGTGGGAGTTTGGTCCAAGGGAGAAAAGCAGAAAGCAAGAGGCATCAGGTTTAGAAAAGAAAAGAGCCTGTAGGACAGCACAGGACAGTTTGCAAATTCCTCCCAGCTGGAGACCTGCCTCACTCCTGAGCCTCAGTCTTCCTCTCTTTGCAATGGGGACAATCCTATGGATCTTACTGGATTGTTGAGGATTAAAATCAGTATGTGCAAAGTTTCTGGTAATATTTAACAGTCAGCATTAATCAAGCTTTGCTATGTGCCGGACACTGTTGTGAGAGCTTCATAGTTAAATAATCTACACTCCCTAAGAGGCCTGTGAGGGGGCTGTTTTCATAAATGAGGAAACTGAAGCACTAAAAATTTAAGAAAACTGTGGCTGAGCTGGACTTCTAAGCCAAGCATCTGAGGCCAGAATCGACCCCTCAGTCCATCCATTTCTCTCCCCCTATGGCTGCAGTCATAACATCACCGCACCTCTCAGGGCACAGGCGCCCCGTTGAGTTTCAGTGTGGAGACCCGGGGGCAGCAGGGAGGGGGAGGGTGTGGGAAAAGGCAGGCACTGAAGCTTGAGCCTGGCCCCTCCACATTCGGGGGCATGGTGCAGCGCCTCCTCTCACTGTGGGCTGAGCGAAAGGCTTTTTGGCGCTGCTCCTGTTGCACTGCAGTAGTAGCCACAGTGTGACTGTTCCTCTGGGCCCCGAAGGGAAGAAAGCTATAAGGAGAGACCCTGCAGGGCAAGTGAGCCACCTTATTCCCTCAGGTCTGAGCTGTTATCCGACTGAGAACTCAGCACACCCACCCTAGGAACCTTGAGATAACTCTAAAGAGAGACTGGATTTATGTGAGGGTCTGGAAAATGGCAGATATCCAAGGAAACACACATACACAACTACATGTTCCCCTGGGCAGGGGGTGGAAGGTAGTGGAAAGTCCAGGGCCATGGAGAGATTCCTAAGTCAGGAAATGGCACAGCCGGTTGGGCACTGAGCAGCCTTCCCTCCAAGCCTGTGCCTCTCCCCTCCAGCTGGGAACACTGAGGTCTGAGGAAGGCATTCGATGTGCTGAAGGTCTTTGTCCAGGTTATGTCTGCTGATGCCCTACTTTCTCTCCACTCTCCTCTTTCTCTCCTTTTAAACTGTTAGAGAGCAAAGCATTATGGTTTGGGGGGGTCCAGTACCTCATGTCATCTCCTAACTTGATATTTTTCTCTTCTGATCAGAATATATCTTCTAGCAGTTTCATGTGACTTCTTCCTCAAACTGATCACCAACCAACCAGAACAGCATACTTCAGACATATTCCTCCACTGAAGAGCATGGCTAAGAGCTGGAAAGCCCCCAAGAGCAAGAAGATCACCCTCAACGTGGCCAAGAACTGCATCAAAATCACATTTGATGGGAGAAAACGCCTCGACTTGAGCAAGATGGGGATCACCAACTTCCCGAAATGTATTCTGAGACTCAGTGACATAGACGAGCTCGACCTCAGTCGCAATATGATCAGGAAGATCCCTGATTCAATCTCCAAGTTTCAGAACCTGCGGTGGCTGGACCTGCACAGCAACTACATCGACAAGCTCCCCGAGTCCATCGGCCAGATGACCAGCCTGCTCTTCCTCAACATCAGCAACAACAGGCTCACCACCAATGGGCTGCCTGTGGAACTCAACCAACTCAAGAATATCCGCACCGTGAATTTGGGCCTGAACCACCTGGACAGCGTGCCCACGACACTGGGCGCCCTGAAGGAGCTCCACGAGGTCGGGCTCCATGACAACCTGCTCAGCAACATCCCCACTAGCATCGCCAAGCTCCCCAAGCTGAAAAAGCTCAACACAAAGCGAAACCCCTTCCCCCAGAAAGAGGAGGCTGAAATGTTCATAGACTCCATCAAGAGGCTGGACAACTTATACCTGGTGGAGGCGAAGGATCTGTGTGGGGCTTGCCTAAAGAAATGCCAACAGGCCCGCGACAAGCTGAACAAAATCAAGAGCATGGCCGTGACAACACCGAAAAAGGCCATCTTCAGCAGTCTGACCTCGCCCAACTCCATGGCCAAGGAGTCCCAGGAAGAGTGGAGGTGACCTTGAACCCTGACCCTTAGGCAGAAAGGGAAAAGGGAGGGAGGGAATATAGCAATGGGCTGCAGCCACGGAAAACTGAAAGATCACCCCATCGCTGCAACAGTTCTCCAGCCAAGCCCATAAAATACCTTCCCCACCATCTCGGCTTGTGGTTTTGTTGATTGAAGGGCTTCAGTGCCCTGCCAGTCTTCTCTGCATGTGCGCCCCACACAGACGGCACGAGTGAGGGAGGGGCTTTCCACCTCACTTCCACTTGGAGCGCTCCTGCCGAGCCCCGGCCGGGCAGCTAGCAGTCCACGCACTTAGTGTCATTACCGTGCGTTTCAGGACTATCCACCAGCCTCCCAGCGTGGAGCTTGTTCTGTGGAGCTGCTTTTGGTCAGAGCTTCAAACGTCAGGGACCTCAGAGCACCAGTTGCTAGGAGGCAGGTGGACATTTAGCCTTGGAAGGGAACAAAAGTAGGCCACAGAGATGGGAAGATATTATCATTAAGTATTGGCAGGTATCATCTTGGGCTCAAAGCAGAGCTCTTTCTCTCTTTTCTGTGTTTTCGTAACCTGCTCTAGGAGCTTTCTCTCGGCAACCTGCAAGCCCTTGGCTGTGAATGAAGGAGGCTTCACTCCCATATCACTGTCCAGTTCTCTTCCAGACTCTTGTGGGAGTAAGGAAAGAATGGCTGCAGGTATGGGTTGGTGCAGTCAACAAATAAGTACCTTACCAGGCCCAGTGCGAGGTGCAGGGCCTGTATCCAATGGAGAGAAGCTTGGCTCTCCCTGCACAGCCTGTAGGAAAGACCCACTGAAAGAACAGACAGAATGTCACTGTCTGAGGAAGGTAGACAATCAGGACCATGTGGTGTGCAGGGCTGGCTTGGCAGAGAGAGAGTCAAAGACTGCAGTTCAGGGCAGCTCTTCTTGCCATTTTCCTGGGCATCTTACTTAGTTTTGGTTCCCTCGTCTGTGAAGTGGGAATGATATGACCCCAATTCCAAGGGTCCCTAAAGCAGACAGCACAGGTAAACACTCAAGGGAAGCCAGTTCTCTCTAAGAACTGAAGCTTGGTGCATCTCAGAGCTGAAATGCCACTTTGGACAGTGTCCCTGTTTATACTAGATCTTTTGGCAGAAATGACAGTGGCAGAGCCAGTCCTCAGGATAGCAGGGAGCTTCTGTACCGCTCACCCCGACCGCCACACTGCCTACAGAAAAGGTCAAGAAAGATCTCTTTAGGGAGCTTTAAAACATTTAATCGAGACTTCTGTGCTGGCGGCAAGCCCTGCAGCTGTCAATGGGAGAGCACCGGGCATCCGTGGGTTCAGCAGGGTGCTCTGGACGTAACACCCCCAGACAGGCACAGGCAGACCAGGGCAGGCAGCACACTGCACTTCTTCACTCCCCGCTGCTTATTTCTGCTCCTAATGCTTCGCCACGACAACCCCACCATATGTCTGAGATATGGATTAAAAATTCCCGCTTCAGTTTCCCCTTTATTAAATGTTTCCCATTATAAAAGCAACAAAACTACACCATAATTGTAAATGCAACAGCTTTAAAGTGTCCACAGTTTTGCAGTGTAAGCCAGCTATAGTAACAGGTGTCCCGACTGTGTAGTTTTTAGAGTTAAAATTACAGCATTCACACCATCTTTCTCTTGCTTTGAAGCCTGTGTTGCTACAGGTCTTCACCAAACTTAAAACATCTGCAGGGCAGTTAAGCGTGGACATGACTGTGAGTTACTGTGCAGCAGGGAGGCTGTTTCTGGTTTTCACCAATGGAAAGAGATTTGGGGTGAAAGCCTGTATGATTAATATTTTTGAGATATGTTGCATTATTTCCTTGGTATAGCTCCATTATTGTAGATTTTGAGTTAAGGGGTGTGTTTTTAAAATAAGGTTTGATACATGCTATCGAGTAGCTTATAAAAAGTTTAGACACATTCATGGATCTACCAGTAAGAGTCTAGAGACCTGCTTGACTGCGCCCCTGCCAGCAGGAGCATTTTCCCTTCGTTTGCCATTGGAAATGGTGAGAGCCCTTCGGAGGTGAATGGAGCGGTGTGGCTGTGATGTGCCTGGTGAGTGTCACGCCAGAGGCCACTGCTCGTACGCTGGGCCTTGAACACGTCCCTTAGGTAGCCTTCCTGCTGCACAAGCAGCTTCACTCCAAGGACAGAATTCAGGCAGGGGCCTAAGAGCTCAAACAGAGTGCTGGCGAGTTGTTTGGATCCTGCCCATTCCCATTTCTCCCCTTGAGACACTTTTTTCTTAGAATTAGTGTTCCCTTCTTATTTAGCAAAAGATCAGCAAAGAAAGGAGTTAAGAGAAAAGGTTCCCCTTTGCCCCTATGCAGGATCTTGGTCTGCACCATGGACTTGCCCCCTGCTCCCTCTCTGCTCCATCGCAGCCATGGATTAGCCCCCACCCCCGCTCCATCG